AAGGCAGGTGGGGCAAAAATGATGTGTAGTCCAAGGGGGAAACTAGTGAGGCCAGTAGGGTGGGAGTCAGGGAAGGTGGGGGTTCAGGGTGGGAGAGACCATTTCTAGCTTGGAGCATCAGTGAAGGCTTCTTGGACAAGAGGGCCTTTGCCTGGATCTTAGAAGCTAATTAGGAGGAGGAGTTGTGTTGCAGAGGTTTACTTTACATTCCTGCTTTGGAGCTTTTGTGTTGTTATTCAGCCTTGGCCTTAGTTGTGGTCACCAGTGGACAGAAAAACCCTGGCCAGTTGTGTTTACGCAGGTCAGCTACAGCAGTAATAGCTTTCAGCCTCTGTTGCTTGCAAGAGCTTGGAGTATTTAGAAAGCCGGTGTCCTCCCTGGAAGCTCGTGGTCACTTGGCCTGGGTGGACCATGGACGACACCTGAGGCTTTCTCTGGGGTTCCCGGGGACAGTCGGCAGCTAAAGGAGAGCACAGGAGGCCCCTTTGGCAGTGTTGTGTCATCAACTGCTGAAATGTTTTTTGCTTGAGCAGGTATCTCCAACTTTCTAGTATGTTCCATCAGGTTCACTGTGGACCAGGGGCTGAGATACCAGTGCCAAGCCTTGAGACCCAAGCCCCAGGACCCAGGTTCAGCACAGCCTACCTGTAAATTGGAGTAGTGACCTCTGATCCCTCCATCACCACCTGAAACTGGGAGGGCATAGGAATGTAAGAGAGCTTTGGGAGGCTCAGGGCTTGGTAATGGTAATCGATGCTGCCTGGGGCATAGCACAGTTAAATAACCGTCCCTTCTGTGCACTTGTTTGCATGGCCTGTGTATTATAGTGAGTCTCAGGTGGGACAGAAATTGTACAGGTGCTGGGGGAAGTTTGTTTAGGTTTTCCATTTAACGGGATTCTCAGAAACAGACTGGCTATTCCTGGGCAGGATGCCTCAGAGCACAGGTGGGAGGTGGGGCTGGTGGGACCTGAGGAGGGTGTGACAGAGCAGAATGACTTCCCAGGGTCAAGTCCAAAGCTTCTGCTTCAAATGGGCACCACTGGGCCTTGAACCAGCACTGTGGTGGCACGGGCGGGTGCCCCCACGTGCTGTCACTTGCCAACGTCCGTGGGTCCTGGGTCTGCATTTCGTGTGTGACTCCTTGATTGCTGGCTGGTGTCCATCGTGTCCCTGGAGGCCCCCTGGCCTCCTCCAGGGGTAGTGGCAGAATTCTGAGGCTTGTCCCGAGGCCTCATCCCAGCCCAAGCTCATCACAGACCCTGGCCCCCAGGTGGGGAGGCCACCAGGGAAGGGGTCTGGGGCAGCAAGGCAGAGGGGCTGCACTTGTTCTGTCCTCGAGGGTGCAGCTGTGGGTGAGGGCCATGGGTTGGGGTAGCTGGCCCGAGGAGTGGCTGGCAACATCACGGAGGCAGCAGGGCAGTGGTGAGTGGGCTGAAGCCTGAAGGTGACTGAGGGGAGCTCAGGAAGGGTAGGTTGCAAGCTGGGCCATGAGGTAGTTAGGGTTGGATTTGAAGGCCCTTGATGGAGGACGGAGATGAATTCCAAAGCCATTATCGCTATCCCCAGGAGGAACAGGAAGACTGCATTGAAAATGGCGGAGGTGTAGAGAAGGTGGGTTAGGAGTTGGCAAGGAAAACCTGGCAGGCCTGGGGTAAGGACCAAACAACAGCCTCCCACTGCCGGAGCTGGCCCTGCCTGCAGCAGCACGAGAAGAAAGCCTGGGAGGAGGGGTGTCCCTGGGTGGCAACTCCAAGACTGATCACAGCGGTCGCCCCCAGGCCCCCAGGGAGATGGCAAGATGGAACTTCTGCCCACAGCAGCACTGCAGCTCTTGGAATTGGCTTCCTGCCCTCCCTGTCTTGTATTCCCCATTCCAGAGTTTTTCCCTACATAAACTTGTCAACCCCCAATCTTATTCTTTCCCAAGATGGCAGGAGAGGGAGGAGGCTGGGGAGAGAGGGGCACACGGAGGGTGTCAGGGTGCCATCTCGACCCAGCTGATCGGGAGGGAGCCTCACAGGCCGAGTGACACGTGGGGGTGGGAGGTGTCTTTCTGGCTGTAGTAAGCAGCCTCCTTCTGCGAGCTGAGGAGCTGGGGAGGAGGCTGCTCTGACTCAGATGTAAGTCATTATCTGCAGTTTGGAGTATCTCAGCCCCCACCGCTGACCCAGTTGTATTTAGAATACAAACGAGAGTGAGTGATTCATCAGCTGGCAGGATTCTGGTGCCCTTTGGGGTTTTTACACATAGCCCTGACCATTTAGGGGAAGGAATTTTTAGGAGAACTTCCTCTCATGCCCCTTCCTAGTCATCTTCCATCTCTGGATACCCTCCCCAACCAAGGGCCCGTGGGAACCCCACCCTTTGTAAGGTAGCACGGTCTGGGGAGGAGGTCACCCAGGCTGGGAGAGCCCATGAGGCGTCAGCCTTGACATCTGTCGGTTGGGATGGGTGGTGTGCCCCTGTATGTGAGCGTGAGACCCCCTGCCCCAGTCAGCTGTGGGTAGACACCAAACATTGTCTTGAAGGGGCTGCCTGTTAGCTGGATGGTTTTTTGCCAGGTGCTTTGGGTTGGGATTTGTCAATGTCAGAATATAAAGGACTAATTGAAGTGGGAGAGGGCTGGATTGGGCAGACGTTTGATAGATGGCAGGCATCTTAGTTTTATTGAGGTGTAATTTAGATACAGTTGAATTTGTCAGTATTCAGCGTATGGCTTGGATCTTGACAGATATCGATACAGACCTGTAACCACCACCCCAGTCATGACAACATTCCCGCCACTCTGGAAGGTGCCCTCCGACCCCTTCTACCCTCACCCCCAGCAGCTGCTTATCTGCTTTCTGTCATGGGGCTGCCTTTTCTAAGATCATCTTCCATGTGAGGGGAGAGGTAGTGTGTAGTCTTTTCTGTCTGGCCTTTTCACTTTGCTTATGTGTTGGAGATGGACAGCTGCCCTGAGTGCATTTGCACTTTGCCCCTCTGTATCACTAAGCACTGTGGTGTGGAGTGCATGTAAGTTGCATGTTTCTCTGTTCAACTGTAGATGGATATTTGGGTGTTGCCAGTTTTCAGCCACTGCAAAGAAAGCTGTGAACTTTGCTCATGTGTCTTTTGATGGACACGCACTTGCATTTCTCCAGAGTGGATACCTAAGAGTGGGATTGCTAGTGTTTTTTGTGAGTAGTGAGTGTATGTTTAGGTTTGTAAATAACCTGCCCAGCTCTTTTCCAGCTGTACCATTTTGCATTTCCACCAGCAGTGCGTGAACATTCCAGTGTCCCCACCCCTCCATCCTCGCCAGTACTCGGTGAGGTCAATCTTTTATTGATTCTAATGAGTATTGAGTGGTATTCCATTCTAGTTTTGAGTTACATTTCCCAAGACTAATGACACTGAGCACTTTGTTTCATGTGCTTGTTATTCCTAATATCTTTGGTTAGAAACCTTGATAACATTCTAATTTCACTGGCAAATGATTATCTGAAAATGGATTAATTTGTGACAGTTGTCTATTGTTAATCACTTAATGCTGTATTTAGTCTTAGAGATGAAAGAGAAGGTCTGCATAAACTTATTTTTTTCTCCCCAAAACCACTTATTGAGATGGCTAGTGACATAAACATCATGTTAAGCAGGTCACAGCACAGTTGGAGGAGATGGACAGGAATGCTAGGGACTACGATGTGTGTTGTGCCATCCCTGGGGACCTGTTAAATGATCTGGAAGCACAGAAGAGTGATACAGATAGCTTGGGCTGTACTCGGAGGTTTCATGGAGGAGGGGATGCTCGTGTTAGGCCTGATGGGTGAGTAGGTATCCACAGGCAGGGAGAGGTGCTGGGCAAGGGCACAGCCTGCACAGAGACGTGGAGCTTAAACAGGATGGCCGAAGGTGGGCTGGAACTGGGGTGTGTGCTTCTCTGGTCTCAGTCTCGTGAGATAGGGGTAGTGTGGTGTTCTTGTGACCTGGAGGCCCCTCTGGTCTTGTGGAGTGGTCTAAGGGAGATGAGGGCTGGGGTGGCAGCAGGTGGGGGCATGCTAGGCGTACCCAGGCAGCCTCACTGGAATCTGATGTGTCCTAAGCTTCAAGCCGGCGGGAAGCCGACTCTTTCAAAGAGCACTAGGTTTGTAAAAAGCTGACAGCAGGTATCAGATATTAGATGGCCATGTCTTTATTCCCTCCTGAAAGAAATCTTCACTGTGGAGACAAATTGAGAGCAGCCCAGTGTATGTCTGTTGAGGCCTCCTGCGTGTGTGTGCGCACACATGTGTGTGTGTGTGCGTGCGCGTGCGCGTGTGGGGAGGGAGGTGCAGGGATCTACTTTTAGCACATGTTAAAACCTCATTGCTGAAGATGCTTCTAGTCTCAAATGCTGGCCCTGTTTTTGCCACATAGTCCACCCAGCCTTCGATCTGTGCTGTGAAAGGGAGTGGGGAATCGACTCTTCTTTCCAAACCCAGGGTTTTGACAGAGAGGGCTCCCACAGCTCGTCCTGCTCTGCTCCTGCCCAGCACAGCCAGGCGCCGTGTTCAGGGTCGGACATTAATTGGCAGCCAGGCAAGCTGGTCCTGAACAGGGCAGGCTTAGCTTGGAAAGAGAACAGAGCACTGGAATGAATGCAGCTTCCCGCAAATGGAGGAATTAGAACCATGGCTTCTTTCTCTGATGACACTTTTGTTTTGTGTATGTGTTTAACAGATATGCTTGTTCCGTATTATGAAAAGTACAGAAAAGCAGACATGGAAAAACTCACCTTGTTCTACAATCATCGACTAAAGAAACTGAATTAAAGTAACATAAATTTCTCTCACCTAGAGATAGGTAGGCAGGCAGTAGGTATGTAGGCAAGTAGATATGCTTCTGCAATTTTCTTCATGAACGTTTTAGCTTCAGTGTTTCTTGGTACACCCCTTCACCCCAAATCTGTTGATGTGGAGAGCTGGAATTGTGGCTGCTTCTCCATTCCTTCTCTTCATTCCGGGTCTCCTCCTGCAGAATCCAGCCCTTGCCGACATCTATACGGAGCACGCCCATCAGGTGGTGGTGGCCAAGTATTCGCCCAGCGGATTCTACATCGCCTCCGGAGGTACCGTATGGGGGCAAGGCTCGTGGACACCTGTGGGGGCCTGGGTAGATCTCAGGGCCCAGGGCAAAGCTGGGTTTCTGGCCTTGGGAGAGTGGGAGGAGGGAGGTGGGGGTGGAGGAGCAGGGTGGGGGTGGCAGGTTAGTTGAGGGAGCAAGTGTAGTTTCAGCTGAGGCTCACAAGGAACGTATAAGGCACGCTTGTCCAGCTGGTGGCCACAGGCTGCATGTGGCCCAGGATGGCTTTGAATGCAGCCCAACACAAATTCGTAAGCTTTTTAAAACCTGAGGGGTTTTTTGCATTTTTTTAAAACTCATCATCTATCATTAGTATTAGTGTATTTTATCTGTGGCCCAGGGAAGTCAAAAGATTGGACGTCCCATGTATAAGCTACCAAAATGCCCCTTTTCAAAACTGCCTTAGTTCTAGAATAGAAAGTACACTTTCTAGCTTGTAATGTTTCAGTTACTCCCAGCTTGCAGGTCAGCAGAAAGGCCACCAGGAGGTTGGCGAGGGACCTTTCTTGGGAAGCCATGGCATGATGCACTGGAGCCTGTGTGGCCCGTGTGTGTGTGTGTGTGTGTGTGTGTGTGTGTGTGTGTGAGAGAGAGAGAGAGAGAGAGAGAGAGAGAATTGATGTTTTTTTTTGGCGTCATCCTTACCCACTGCTCCTTTTCCAGTACCTAGCACAGTGCTGGCCTCCAGGCAAGTGCTCATGTTTTATTTGCGGACTGAGCCTTTGCTCTCTGCAGCCTGGGCTTTTGTGTGGCTCAATGGGAGGCTAGGCAAAGGTGAGGGTGGAGAGACCTTTCCTCTTGAAGGATGTTGTTTATTCACTTGGTTCTTTGAGATAGAGCTTTTCCTATTTACAGATGGGAACAAGAGGCACAGGAGTGAGAGTGGTACTCCCTATGGAGTGGTGGCCCATTCATTCATTCAGTCACTCATTCATTCATAAGCTCTACAGATACTTACCTCCCGCCTTCCCTAGCCATCTGCAGCCCAGGGAGGCCAAGTGAGGAAGCTGATGTGGACCTCATCAGCCTATTTAGAGAGTGACGGCTGTGACCGCATTGCTGAGAGAGCGAAGCAGCAGTAGGAGAGGGCGGGATTAATGAATGCCATGGAGGGCGGGATTCACGCTTGCCATGGCCCTCCACCTGTACCGCCCTGCGTGTGCACAGCAGCCTATCCTGAAGGGTTTGTAGGAGATGGTGGGCCTTGGGGTTGGGAAAGACCTGGATTTGGCTCTTAGTTTGTTTTGTGCTGTTATAACAATGCCACAGACTCGGTAATTTACAGCTAACAGAAATGTATTGGCTCATGGTTCTTGGGGCTGGGCAGTTGGACATCAAGGGCTGGGCATCTGTCAAGGGCCTTTTGCTGTGTCATTTTGTGGTGGAAGAGCAGAGAGAAGGTGAGAGAAGAGGAGCTAGGCTTGTCCTTTTATCAGCAACACGCTCCTGCCATAATATTCATTCCCAAAGGCAGAGCTCTCATGGCCTCATCACCTCTCCTTAGGCCCCATCTCCAAACGCTGCTGCATTGGGGATGAAGTTTCCAGCACATGCTTTTGGGGGTCATAATTCAGACCATGGCAGCCTCTTACTAACGGTATAAGCTTAATTGAGTAACTCACCTTCCTGGGCCTGAATTTTCTTCTGCAAACTGGGGTTGCCGGTGTCTGCCTTGTAGGGTGTGGTGAAGCAGCTGGTAAGGCATGAATATGCCCAGCACGGCTTTTGCACTAATTGGTACTTACCCCTGGGTGACCCATTACCTGTCACAAAACTGGGGCCCTGTTCTGATGAAGCCAGGCCGCCGGGTGAGCTGGCTGACTGCTGCTGGCAGTCGGCCATGGTCACGATGAAGGGTCAGGCCCAGAGTCTGGCTCATATAGTAGGCATGTAATGGTTTTTGTGTTTAGATCTTCTCAAACTCCGTCTGCAAAACATGCTCTCATTTACGTCCCATGATTCATTTAGCTCTGTGATTTATTTTTTCCCCAAGCCCTGCTTGCCAGAAAAAGCCTTTTCATTTAAAGCCCCAAGATTTGGCCCAAATGTCTTTTACATGTTTAACATGAGTGAAGCGCTTTGAGAAGTTTCTTTTCAGGAGAGGAATGCAGTTGGCAAGGTCTCCGCCCCTGCCTGACACAGTGTCCCTGCCCTGTCAGCTGCAAGCTGAGAGCCTGCAGGCCCAGGCCTGCCCTCTCCCTGGTCCCCAGAAGGGTGTCCAATGAGACAAATCAATGGAAGGCTGTTGCGGAGACTGTTGCAAAGGACAAACCACGTCAATAAGTGGCCATCGTGGGAGGCTGTCCTCCCTGAAAAATGCCCTGATTTTGTGGAGGAGCCAGGGGAGTTTTGGGCCATCCCCAGATCCAGGTGTTCTTGGACGAGATCACATTTTATGTTTCTAATACATTTCTTTGAATAGAGCAAACCGATTGTTAAAGCTTACACTGGGACATTTGCTGCAGAGATGAAGTTGGGCTAAAAATAGTGTGGTGAGGGGAGTGGTTCGGAGGGAGGGGGCTGAGAAAGAGCTGTGCTGGCCCACTAAGTGGGTTACCCAGCAGCTGGCTCCAGCCCTCTGCGGGATTTTTAGACCCTGTCAGTCTAACTGGTTCATGACTGCTGGGTTGAACCTTGGGAAGGGCCCCACACCTGGAAGCCTCCAGCATTGAATGCAGTGGTGGGTCTGCCCTCTGGGAACCCACATTCCCAGGGGGCGGTCCTCAGAGTACAGGGGTTATTTCTGGGGCAGACCCAGGTCTGTCTCTTTTTTCCTGAGGTTATTTCCATGCTTGTGGTCTGCCTTGCTCCATCCCCTTAGCACAGGGGCCATTGTTCCAGGCTGGCCTTGGGAGTCAGCAAGGGCCATGTGACAGGCCTGTGGTTTGCCCATAGGCCCAGGGCAGGCTTCCTGGAGGAAGGGGCCATTAGAAGTAGCCCACCAGAGATGGCTTGGCTCTGGGGTACGGCCCTGAACACAGGGCCTGAGCACAGGGGCTCTTGTTGGTGCAGCCCTTTGTCTCGGTGAGTTCATGGAGAGAGGGAGCCCTTCCCATCTTCACTCTTTCCCCTGCACGGCTGGTGATTGACGAATAACTGAAGGTGTGCGTTTACTGTCTCCCTCCCCTCTGGACTCTTAGCAGGGCAGGCGCTTAGCCTGTTGGGTTCACTGCTCTGCCTCCAGCACAGGATTTGACACCCAGGCCCTCGGTCAGTGTTTGGCAACTTCATCAGGGTTGTCGTCATTAGACTGGGGTCTGAGTGCCTGCTCCCTAGGTCCCACTGTCTTTCCTACCTCAGCTGCTTCAAAGAATAATTACATAAATAAGCAGGGTCCAGCGGGAGGGGGCTAATGGTCTGGTAGGGGAGGCAGTAGAAAAGCAACTGGGAAGCCAGACCTAGAATGGAGCCTGAGCTGATGGGCAGAGCAGGCATCGGCTTGCTGAGCCCAGGGAAGTGGGACGGCTGGGCTGGCCTGTGTGAAAGGGTGGGACGCCCTCTGCCTTGTTCTGGAGAGCACTGTCTTCTCCATGGGGCAGCATGGGCCCTGGGTGGGCCTGAGCACGGCAGACCATGTGGTCACATGTACATGTGTGAATGTGTCTGCATATATGTGCACGTGTGGCCACATGTACATGCGTGGTTATGTATGCTCCTGAGTATAGGTGCATGTCTTTCCTGCACACGCTGCTCCCCTCAAATGCTGCAGCCTCCAGCGACTTCCTCTCCTGACCTCTTTTTCCCCTCTGCCTGGCCCGTTTTATCAGTGAAAGGACTTAACTAAGCAGATCTCCTTTGGAACTCACCTCGGGCAGCACAGCAGGTGGTCTTCCTGGACCTGGCCCAGAGGCCTGGGCCCTTCTGTAACTCCCCTTAGTTAGTGCTGTTCGCTGGATTCGGCATCTCCTCTTGCCTGTCCCCACAACTGGCCTGAGAGCAGGACAGTCCTTATGTGCATCTCCCGAATCTCAGGGCCTGGCTCAGTCTAGGCCTGGGCTGTGTGTCTTCCCAGAAACAAGGCATCTTCAGTGGCCTGTGCAGAGCCTCAGTTAATTCGTGGACTAGTCTCACCTGACTCATAACGAGCTCTTGCTGTGCACTGAGGACTAGTTGGAGACTTGGCACGTGTTAACTCGTGGAACCCTATAGCTGCCCCATGAGGTACCTCTGTTATTTCCCCACTCTGGATAAGGACACGGGCCACATTGCTTGCTGAGCCCCACAAAGCCTCTATGTGGCAGAGACTGGATTTGAACCCAGGGCACCTGTTCCTAAGGCCTGGCTTTTAGTTGCTGCCCTCCCTTGAACTGCTCAACCCGACCGAGAAAACAAAAGCTCTTTTTAACTGGAAGCAGCTGTAGAGTTGTGTCGGGTGTTAACGTGGCCTGAGGATCCTGTGGAAAGGCAGGCGCCCTTACCTGCTTAGAGGATGGGGCTGAAGTTTTAAGCTGTGAAACCTTGAGAGTTAGTCTAGAATGTTCTCATTTCTTCACGCCAACACAGTGCTCATTCGGAGAGGGTGTGTCAGGATTAGGACTTGGTACTTGGTGACAGGATCATGGTGGGGGCTTGGGGGCACGTGGCCCCCAGTGTTGATTCTGTTACAATTAGCTGCCCACGCTCCTGTGAGAAGAGAATCAGCCTCAAGTTCTGCGTACAGTTCTCCTTCCCCCACAACACCCACCTCCTACTCTCACAAAAGAATCTTACGCTTGGATTTCTGTGAGTCTCAGAGCCACTCGGTGTGTGAGTGAGGCTGCTGATGTGCCAGGCAGCAGCACGCTGTCAGGGAGCCAGGTCTGCGGGCCCAGGTGGAGGCCGCCAGGCCACACTCAGGCATCGCACCGGGCAGCCGCCCGCTGTGCCCTCACAGCCACGCGCCTCATTTCCAGAAGTCACTGCAGCAGCTGCGCAGGAGAGGCAGGTGTAGCCAGTGTTGTCTCATTGCACAAAGGTGGCCTGGGGCCCACATGTCATTCTGATGCCCCTACAAGAAAAGAAATGCAGTAAGGAAACTAAACTTCTTCCTGACATATTGGAGTTTTGCCATCACGTGTCCCTGGGCTGCTTCCGATGCCTAAGCAAGGTTTGTTATCCAGATGATTTCTGGCAAAATGCAGAGGCCCCAAATGGCAGGCCTCTGGAGTCACGGGCGCTGCCTTAAGAGTGGCTGAATATAGCGTTTCCCTAAGACACGTTCTTCACTAGGCCTTTCCCTCCAGAGAGTCTAAGCAACCAGACGCGGTGTTGAGTGGGCCTGTGGCCATCGCCCTGGCCTGGCAGTGACATGTGGCTCTCCCCCCGCTGTGTCCCACAGATGTGTCTGGGAAGCTGAGGATCTGGGATACCACGCAGAAGGAGCACCTGTTGAAGTACGAGTACCAGCCTTTCGCCGGGAAGATCAAAGACATTGCCTGGACTGAAGACAGTAAGAGGATCGCCGTGGTCGGGGAAGGAAGAGAGAAGTGAGTCACTCTTCTCAACCCCTCCTTGCCTGGTTCCTGTGGCTCACATCCATGTGCCATGACCCTGGTGGGACGGGGACGCAGTGGTGTCTGTACTAACTTGAACTCATGAGGGTTGAGCTCCCAGTAGGCACCAGCCCCTGCTAGGGCTGGCTCTAGCCACACATAAGGCAGAACGCCACATCACATTGGGTTTGTCACCAGGGCCCAGTACTCATCTCTCCTCTGACGTCCTGAGTCCCTTGCCTCCTAGAACACCAGCTCTCATGCCCACCTGCAGGTAGCAGGAAGGGGACAGTGAAAGAGTGACACTGCTTCCATTGGGGTTCCTCACAGCAGCTGCCCCACGAAGCTGCCAGGGAGGGTGAAACTTTCTTCCAGCGGGGTACCTCCCCTAAGGGTCCCTGATGGAGGAGTGAGGGCAGTGATGCTTGCTGGGTGCCACTCGGTGGCTCCAGCCCTCAGGGGCCTAGTGACTGGTGAGTGAGGTCAGTGCTGGAATCCAGGTTTTTTAAATTCAAGAACAGTCAGGGTTCCCTCTACAGCACCGTGGCTGGCCATAAACACTTGAACTTGAGAGTGGCATGTCCGTGTCCCTCACTGAAAGGCACTTTTTCGTACATGAGCCAGTAGGTATTTTTCCATGGTTTTTCAAGTCATTCCTATTGGCCTTCATTCCTTCTTTATTCAGTAGCAAATTGTAACTAAAACAACGCTTTTGTTGAATGTCAGCCAAGAGCAAGGCATCTCCATTCCTGTAGGGGATGGTAGCTGTTTCCTCCCGACAGAACGGTCATCGGAGAGCAATCTAATAGCTGAGAGTGATGAAGCCATAAAGTAGCCCCAGGTCCTGTGGCGTGGGGCCCCACAGACACACACGTGCAGTCCCTTCCCACAGGCGCTGCCCCATCTGGTTCTTGGGTCCTGTGGACAAATGCCTCGTGGAGCCAGAACCCCAGTGCTTCCCTCACTTGTCCCTGTAGCGTCCTGAGCTGCCTGCTGACAGTCAGTCCATCCTCTGTGCACTGGCAGCTCAGCTATCAGATTGTTCTCTGACCTTCTGGGATTGAGATTTTTTTGTCTTCCATCCTTTTTGTTGTGTCAAGGTTCGGAGCAGTCTTCCTGTGGGATAGTGGCTCTTCTGTGGGCGAGATCACCGGCCACAACAAAGTCATCAACAGTGTGGACATCAAGCAAAGCCGGCCATACCGGTTGGCCACAGGAAGTGACGATAACTGCGCTGCGTTCTTTGAGGGACCCCCATTCAAGTTCAAGTTCACAATTGGTGTAAGTGAACTTTTCTTTTTGAGTGAAATTTGTGGTTTATACATGAGGCTAGCAGAGGCTGAGCCTGTTTAGATGCTGATGGCAGAGAGACCATGGCTCATGCCACGTATGCCATGATACACAGACAGAAGTGGGCTCACAGGGGTATGCAGAGAGAGGGAGGGCTCCCTACCTGGCCCTTGTCCTCCCCAGGCCCTCGGCTGGGCATGAGGGGTTGTCACAAGGAAGGACCTTGCCCTAGCACGATGTGCACATGTCGGGAGTTGGGGCAGGGACTTCCCTGAGGCTGTGTAACCAGGCAAACATCTGGGACTGGAGGGGAGCCTGCAGGGCCTGCTATTAGCTGAGCCACCAAAGTGGCAGAGGAAATGAGCTTGCGGGATGTCCAAATTGGTCTCTCAGGCCTCCCCTAGAGACAGGGCAGAGACATGACAGACAGCTAGAATGAAAGATACTTTGTCTGTGGAAGAAATGTACCACAAACGCAGCAGTGAAGTGCCGCAGGATTGGGGTGTAGATCGCAGCATCTCAGAGACCCATGGCACGCATGCGCTCTGCCATAGACAAGTACCTAGGCCTCATTTAGCCTCCTCACTTCTCCCATCTGCAGGATGGGGGTGTGCAGGGGCCAGCAGCATCTTAGGGTGTTGACTATAAATTTGAAGTAGGAGCAGCCACCTGGCAGGTCCGGAGCATCTTTGTTGGCCATCTCCCTGCCCTGGCAGTGCAGGAGTCTGGGCGAGCCCAGCAGCCTATCTCAGCACGGCCCTGCACTCTGCCCTAGCTTTCCCAGTCCTGCTTGTGCTTGCACCGAGGGTGGACGAGAACAGCGCACCCAGAAACGCACATTTTAGGGACTAAGGATGTCCCTGGAGGAGGTTGTTTTTGCAGATTGGACCAAGGTCTCGGGGCTTCTCTCGGGGCCGTCAGTGGTTTTACTGTCTGCCTCATGGAGGATTTATGAGATCGTGTCCTTAAAGTGGCTCACTGAGGAACACTGTCCATTTTAGTGACGTCATGCCGTGAATCATAAATACCCGCACAGTGCAGCCGGAAAGGGCAAGGACGGGACCCACAAAGTGGACAGAACTTCCAGAGGTCGTTCTTGGCCTAGGGTACAGGTGGGCTTTCCAAGGATGCCCGTTTGTGGTGAAACAGGCTTCATTTTGTTGTGAAGCCACAGGCTGAGCTGAGCCTGGCCAGGCAGGTGAAAGCATAGTGAAGCCCCTGTATACAGCTGAACACGAGGTAGGTCTCAGACCCTGCTCCTGTGGCCACCACTTGATGGGTAGGTAGTGGAGACGTAGCTATTTTGGGAGCTGTATTGAAGGCTGTGTTTCTTTGGTGGGGTGGAGGGACAGTGGAGTAGGCTGAGTAATGCCGAGTCAGGTGCACACCCCTTCTCAGTCCAGAGCAGGAGGAGGTAGCTCAGAGGCTTCTATGGCAGCCTGTAGCCAGAAGCCGGCTGTGGGTGGGGCCTCCTTTGCCTGCCCTGGGAGGGGTCATTTCCACTCTGCAGATGTGCATTAAACCCAGCACAGCCTACTCAGAGGGGCAAGGGGAGCCAGGGTTTGTGCCAGGGGTAGGCTGGAGCCTGTATTCTTCACCAGGCTGCTGTGTCCCTGTGTGCTCGCTTGGGGGCTTGGCCAGAACGTTCTTTCTCTTTCGTTGTCCTTTCTAACTTCAGAAAGGACTTCACCCACAGCCCGGCCCAGGAATGTTGGGTAGAAATGTCTGCCCAGCTATCCCAGCTCCATGGTGGGCACCATGTGTCTAGAAGTCTCTGTGGAACCCACAACCATGGGCCCTGCCTGGGAGACATGAAAAGGGCTGTGGCCTGGCACAAAGCTAGCTGGCTCTGCCACCCTCGGGTGAGTCGTGCCTCCGGGCCCTCCCGGAAACAGGGTGACAGTGACCATCCCATGCTGTACCCACAGCTGCAGGGAGGGTGTGAGAGACAGCAGTGGCTATCCACATGCTCGGGGATCATATGCAGCCTCAAGTGCCCATGCAGAGGAAGGACAGGAAGGGTGCTCAGGGACCCCACTGGACCTGCCCAAAAATGCCTTCTGAGGTGCCGATGCACTTCGGAGTGTGTCTGCACTTAACCCCTCCAAACCCCAGAGCAAAGCTGTGGCCATGCACCCCAGGACCAACCCCGCAACTACGGGGAGCGCGTGCAGGCTGCGGAAACTGAGAGGAGGCCTGAGTGCTCACTTGAGGCCCAGCTGCAGCCGGCGTTGAGGACACGGTGGGCCGAGCATGGCTGGGCTTCCTCCCATATGTGGGCTCTTCTGATGCAGTCAGAAAGCCTGGGATGTGGAAGTTCTTGGGAATTAGTTGGGCCTTTTATAGTAAAAGATTTTTAAAATTAAAGTGTATGTGGGAATTTTGTATTTTAGAGGGAATGAAATTCCACTTACTGTGAAATCTACACAGCAGTGGTTGTTTTTCCCCACATCTGTCCTTCCACAGCCCATGACTGCTGGGTCGGGGCTGCCTTCGCCTCCGCCCCAGCGCTCAGACTGTGGTGGCCTTAGCTGGCCAGGCCCCCCGCTCCAGAGGATGAGTGGCTGTGGCGGCAGCTCAGGCCTGTCCTCATCTGGCCTTCCCCACCCACTCCCTGCAGAGGCCCCATGTGGCCAGGACTAGGAGACTGCCTGGAGCTTGAGGTGCAGAGGTGGGGTGTCAGGTGCTTCCCTAGTCACCTGAGTGGCAGAAGGACTGGCAGGTGACTGGGGAGGGACCAGCTGGGTCGAGTTGGAGCTGCTGCCTTAAAAAGGAACATGGCATATTCTGAAGGCGTCAGTACAGGCTGAAGCAGAACTTCCATGATGCTGTGCCTGAACCAAAGTGCAATCTGCATTTCAGAGGAAAACAAGAGGGTCCCTGCCTGTGGAGTCTGGTGGGCCACCTTCCATCTCACTGGCCCATGTTTGGGGGTCACATGGCTTTCCCTTTTTTGTCGAACAGCCCATTGTGTGCAGGGCGAGTGTGGACTCCCGGCTCATCATGAGCCAGGTTCCCCTGTGTGCCCCTTAGCCTAAGGGATCATGGCCCAGCTTTGGTCTTCATTTGCCAGAACCTGAATGGGGCTCCAGGAAGATGAGGGTGGAGGAAGATTTGGCCAGGAATAAGCCTGGGTGCTGGCTTATCCCTCCCCAGTGACGTTGAAGACGTGGTGGGTAAGCTGCAGCGGGAACTTGCGGGATCACAGGAGAACAGTTCTGAATGGAGATCCTAGGCACATTGGTCTTGGTCTCCAGCGCTGGCCTTCTGCGAACCCGGGGTTAGGTTCCCCTTGGAGGGTCTGACTGTGACCTGAAAAAAGGAGGGTGGCAAGACCATCTCCCTGCCTCCCCCCATCTCACTCATGGGAATTTCTTCACGACAGGCAGTCCCCTGGGATAGGTACTCTCAGATGGATTTAAAGGCCCCACTGAGTTTCTCTCCATTATCTGCCTTCGCCATACACATTACTTGCGCCAGATTCTTTGCCTCTGGCCATCCGCTTCCTCCGGTCGGGTGAGCAATTGGCGGTCTAAGATGACCACATGCCCCCTCTGGAGTATGGCTCAGAGCTGTGTGCACGTTCCAGGTCCTAGGAGTTGCACCAGATAGTTTCTGTTGAATGGTTATTTAGAGCAGCACGTCTTCCTGGAGACCTAGCCTCATGATGCAGAACTGGGGACTCACTGCCAAATCTAACCGGTTGAGATTCTAGGTAGAAAAACCTTCAGCATGGGGGACTCCTGGATTCCCTCGGTGGGGTAGCACTGCTCCCTCTGCCCCGTTGCCTCCACCCTCTGGGGACCTCACACCTCACATAGGCTCTCCCGCTTGAGGCTGGAGCCAAGCATGCCTGGAAACCTCCGCTGTGGCTGCTGTCGGCAGTGCTGCCTTCCGAGTAGGTAACTCTAAACGTGCAAGGTTTCTGGTGGTTTTTCTTTTTCATATTTCCTTACTCAAGACAGGGCAGAGAGCAGATGTTTCAGCCCTTTCAGCCTGTATGGTGGCTGCCAGGCCACGCCCCTGCAGTGGGCATAGGACCCCTCCCTGGTCCTCAGCACACGCCACCCCTCCTGTCAGCTGGCCTTGCTCTTCACTGGGCTGATGGCTGACTCCTGAGGACCAGGGGCTGACAGCAGGAAGGGTGACGTGGCCCAAGGACGGTCAGTTAGGATGAGCCTGTTGTTCCTTTATGTGGTCCTTGTTCTCCATGGAGCATGGTGACTGAGCTGACCCTTCCCAGGTAATGGGAGAGGCAGGCAGGTGGGGAGCTCCTTGGTGCCCCTCAGCAAAGCTAAGTGGGTTGGGGCCGCAGGGCTGCCTCAGGGCACTTTGCAGGGAAGTCTGCTGGGAAATGAGGGAGGGTTGGGTGGGCTGAAGGATGGGGGCCCAGAACCAGCCTCTCAGGTAACAGGATAAAGGTGTTTTGGGAACACCTACTGACCAAGGGCCCAGGAGGCCCTGTGCTGGGCTTGTGCGGAGTGGGGCTGGGCACAGGGGACTGAGAGCCTGTCCCCTTCCACCAGCTCATAGGCGTGTGGACAGCATGGCTGGACACAGGTTATTTCCATGGTAAAGGGGGGCTTGTGGTCCTAGTGTATACAGGGTCAGCTGAGGCTGGTGGGAATGGGGTGGGCTCCCAGAGGGTTCCTGAGCTGACCAGGTAGGTAGTGAGCATGGGTATGCTGGGGTTAGGCCAGCTGGGGCCTGTAGCGCTCTGTCCCTCTGTGATGTGGACATGGATGCCTTGCTTAATGATTACCTAAGTGCTTCAAGCCTCGGTTTCCTCGGTGGTGAGAAGGAGCGTGTTGGCAGGAGGGAGTGAGGACTGTGGGGAGGAGGCCTCAATAATACAGGTCAGCCTTGGCTGACAAGCGGGGACAGGCAGCAGTGTGGACCGGGCACTGGGCCATCCACACCAGGGATGATTATACTGCAGCCCCGCTGGTTGGCAGGGCCCCAGAGGGCAGCCCCAGGAAGCTGCTGTGCCTGAACTCTTCGGGAGGTTCCGCCAAGCCCTCTCCCTCTTTGTCTGCTGGCCTGGCCTCCCTGTGGAAAGGGCTATTTTTAGCCCTCGCTTTTTCTGGTTAATGGGCTTTTTGCGGCTTCTCCCTTTGAAGGGGCTATTTTAGGAGCAGACATCAGTCTCTGCATTTGGACTCCTTGGCTTGAGGGGCAGGAAAAGGTGACGGCGATGAGCTGCTTGAGGGGCATTCATGTCCCTGGCCTGTGCCAGGCCCCTCCCTTGCCCCTGCTGGGTTCTGGTGCTGGGGAGGGACACATGGCATCACCCTGCCAGGGCCTGCAGGAGGCACCGGATTTGGGGTTTTGGGTGACCAGGACTGTCCTCACTTCCGGGACCTGGAACTAGAGGAGGAATGTCCATGTTTTGACCTCGGGGAGCCACTGAAATTGGCACTTGTTACGAGTTGGAATTGAGCAATGGCTGAATGTTTTTCTCCACTTTGTAGCAAGAGCAATCAGCGTCCACTGTCCCACCCACTCATCTGCACTGGGGTGATTTGGGCATTTGGAGTGAGCTCTTTTCTCAGTTGTTAACTTGTTCAGTCAGAAGGACCCAGGGGTCAGCCAGGCCCAGCTATCTCCCTGGCCCACTGCACCTCGAGGAAAGCTCAGGCTGAGGTGGAGGGCCAGTGGGAAGTCAGCGTGAAGACAGGGCTGTGCTGGCCAAGGAAGTGGAGTTGGACAGAGAGAGAACTCGGTGTGCTGTTCAGAGGTCTAGGATTCGAGCTGTGGTTATGTCATGGTTATGCCCGGTTGTTTGACCTCATCTGGAAGGAGTGGTGGTGCGCACACCCCTGTCCCCTCCGCCCAGGGGGTCTGGAAAGGCTTTGCCTCTCAGGCCCTCGCACCATTGCCTGCACCCCAGCCGGCTCATTCCTGCAACCCTCTTGGGAACCGCCCTGTGAGGCCCTTTGACACACGGATCATGGACTCTATGGGCTAACATGGACAGGGGACTGTGGGCCATGTTGACACAGGCAGGAGGTGGGCTTCATCGGCTAACCCCAACAGGAACGGGCCCTCAGTGTGTGACGGCGCCCTGATGACAGGTAACAGCAGAAGAGGTGCAAATATGCTTGCGGCATTAGGGATCTGACCTCTGGGATGGCTCTGGCCGGAGCATCCCCAGGCTTGCGGAGCACCTGCCCAAGGCCCAGGAGCCAGCACAGCTGAGATGAGTGCTCTGGATAGGAAACTGGAGACCACATTCGAGCAGGTGAAGCGGCTGGAGTTAGCTGCTGCTCTGGGCCTGGTGTTCTCTCCTGTGAAGAATTTGCCCACGGGCGTCCATGGCCCCTCTAGGGGAAAAGCATCTCTGGAGGTCCTCGAAGCCCCATTTGGAAAGTTGGTTTTCACTCTTAGCAGCTGAGTGGAGCAGCCCTCCAGGCCTCCTGGGGAAACTGCTTTCCCCAAATTCACATACCTAGAAATGCTAGAAAGCACTGAACACAGACCGTTAAAGCAGAGAAGGCCGGCCGTAGAACTAGGGAGAAGGTACAAAAGGAACTAAAGCAAGACACAGAACTGGGCTTACACACGAGGGACCTCTAGCACCAGAGCCAGAAATGACCGTGCAGTCCCATGTCCCCCGCCCCACTTCCTGGGTGAGCCCTGGGCCCGCCTGAGCACTGCACCCTTGTAGCTCGTCACTGCCTTGCCTAGCCAAGCCTTGCAGCACCCAGGAGCTGGGGGCAGGCAAAGGGCTCGCCAGCCCCATTGTTCGTGAGCTGATCACAAACCCAAGCCCAAGTTCAGACTGAGCCAGCCTGGTGCTTGCATCCCTGTTCCTTGTGGGCGGTGACCACAACCCACATAGTAGGCGCTTTTCAGTCATAGAGCGGATTGCAAGTCCCGCAACAGCACTCCCTGAAACGAGGCCGGGAGGACAGTCGGCTTGAGGGAATGTGTTCTCTTTCTGGGTCCACGAGGGGGCGTAGTTTTAAGGGCAAAAATTTTCCAGCGCCATGCACCCCTCCCATCTCTCTCCATCCGGAAGATTTAACAGTTTATGTTTAAATATCTTGGGCAAGGGAAAAAACTAAGAGTCAGTCACCCCAGCGGAAGTTTAAGGAAACTCCTTTTCATTGGCCAGAGGAACTTGGGAAGGTCTCCCAGGATAAATTCCCCTGCTCATTCACCCACACTGGATTTCCAGCTCTCTGGAATCCCCTCCCGCATAGTGGAAGCTCTCTTCCCCTCCTGGATTTCCCCTGTGGAGTCCCCTTCCACACTCTTCATGGAAATTTTTCTCTCTTTCCTCCTTGTTTTTCTCCTCTTTTCTCTGCCTAAATAAAATCGCCTTTCTGCAACACTTTTTGGGTTCGGTGTTTACTTTACAAGCTTACTGCGCACCTGCTGTGGTCCCCTCTCTCATTCCTAAGAGGGCAATAACCAAAAACCTACAACATTCTCTCAGGGGAGTTGTGCCTCACCAGCACCCCAAAAACCCAGTTACATGTTCATCCTCTAGGGTGGAAACAGGACTGCCATCCCCCTCAGGAGCTCCCAGGGAGTTGATTACTGGGACTCCCTCTGTCAAAATGTGTGATTTCTCGGGCTTTCATCTTAATTGAGGTGGGAGGTCCCGGTTCAGGTGCAGGACCAGGGCCTGCTGTGCCCGTGTCCAGCCTGACCCCAGCTGTGAGCAGTTCTTGGCAACACTGAGAAGGGTCACCAGAGGGAAGCAAGTTTGGGTTGTTGGCTGGAGGAAATGCTTTATCTTCAAGTGCAGGAAGCCCAGGTTGCTTTCTGGGGCTAGGAGTGGACCTCGCAGAGCCAAGAACTGAATAGTGTGATTCCATGCACCACGAGCATCCTGCCGTGGGGACATTGCCAGATTCAGCTACATGTATATCCTCTGCTGACTCTGACGGACTTTGTGGGGATGTCAGTTTCCTTGAGCATGGCCCTGGTGATTCCCAGACACCTGATTCCTCTTTCTGGGCGTAAGTTTCTTCATTGGTGAAATGGGCACAGAGGCAGCATTGATTACATGTGTTAGTCTGCTGCAACTGCTGTAACAGTTGATTAAGCCACAGTTTGGGTGCCTTAAGTAATGGAAATTTATTCTCTGGAAATCAGAAGTCTGTAGTAATGGTGTGGGCAGGGACGCACTTCCTCTGAGTCCCTGTCCTTCCCAGATAACTGACAGCCCTAGGGGTCACTTTTGTGAGCATATCTCCCATCTCTGCCTTCATCTTCGCTCCAACTCTGTATCTGTGTCCAGATTTCCCTCTTACAAGTACGCCAAGTCTTGTTGGACTTACAGCCCATCCTAAACACCCTATTTCTGAATAAGGTCTCACGGGGTCCCAGGGTTGGGACTTCAGCATGTCTTTTGGAGGGGCACAATTCAACTCAAAACATTACATGATCAAACACATGCAGTTCCCCACACAAGCAGCTCCTGCTTTAAAATTAAGTCTGTGATGTGCCTGGGGGCAGGGGGCACAGGTGATCCTCCTTGGGTTGAATTGCTTTTCCTGCAGGTTGGTATGTGTACCCACTGAGCGGTGAGCCCCTCCTGTGCTGAGAGAGTTGGTAGCACTGGATGTGCGCTTGGTGGGTTAGCACCACCTGCAGGTGGGCAGTGAAAGGGCAGGGCAGGTGTTGGCAGCTTTGCCACTGCTTAGAGACTCATTCTCTAATACAGACACTTGTTGGCTGAGGAAGAAATGCATTTATTTCCTTATTCTGGTGACAGAGTTGCCCCTGGAAGTCATGTCATTTCCCCTTGTTTGCTCAGACTCTTGTTCTCCACGAAAGTAGTCATTGTTTACCTTTGTTTGAAAGTCAGTTATTCTACCAAGCACTTGAGCTGGGCTGAACCCTCCAGAAAGAGGCCTCCTGGTCTCAGCCATCATGAAGCTTAAGGATCAGGGCTCCAGCTCTTTGCAGAGGGTGGCTCCTGGGGGTACCTCGTTGGGGAGTGCATAGCTGGAGGCGGCCTGCCTTGGGATTAATCAGCCTTGCAGCAGGTAGAGCGGTCAGCATGACAGGGAGGCTGGAGCAGACCCCTGCCCCTCTGAGGGACTGCCTGGGACCTTTTTAAGCTCTGAAATTTTCTTTTTCTGTGGACAAACAGTTCACACACTGAAGCTGCACGCAGACTATTTTGTAGAGCGCATTCTTGAACTTGGAGTCAGGCCCGTGGCCCCTTACCAAGCAGGTCATTGTCTTCCTGCAGGACCACAGCCGCTTTGTCAACTGTGTGCGATTCTCTCCTGATGGGAACAGATTTGCCACAGCCAGTGCTGACGGCCAGGTAAGAGCTGGGATGGGTTTGTGGGGGTGGGGAATGGCTTGTCTGCCTGCTCCCATGACTGCTCAGAGCCACAGGCTGCTGAAAGCCATCTCTGCTGATGCGTAGTCAGAGCCCAGTAAACACATTTCTGCTTTTAAACCACACTGGGAGCTCTGTCTATTAGCCCTGGTTTTCTAGAGCCACAGTCCATGGAGAAACTGCTTACTCCAGAGGGTGTTCACACACACATGACCCTCACATGTTTTTGTTTCTTGGAAGATATACATCTATGACGGGAAGACTGGGGAGAAGGTGTGCGCGCTGGGCGGAAGCAAGGCCCACGACGGCGGGATTTATGCCGTGAGTATGAACATGTTTCCTGGTCCAGTAGTGGGAATTTGGCCGAGTCCATGTGTAAGTCCATTCACACTACTCTGGAGTTAGACAAAAACTTGAAATGAGGGGCTACAAGTTGGGGCGATTTTGTGCCTCTGCCCAGGAAAGCTTTAAGGTCGCGGTGAGGTGATGGGAGAGGCTAGTGGCTGGAACAGGAGACCTGGAGGCAGGTTTTGTCCTTGGCCTACTCACGTTCCACCCCCTCTCTGGGCTCCTTCTGTCCTACTCAGACAAGCTGCCCTGTGGGTTCTCTTTCCAGTCTGAAGTCCTCTGGCACGTGACACACTGCTTTTGTTTGAGTAGATTAGTTGGAGTCCTGACAGCACCCATTTGCTTTCTGCTTCTGGGGACAAAACTTCCAAGATCTGGGATGTTAACGTGAATTCCGTGGTCAGCGTGTTTCCCATGGGCTCCACGGTTCTGGACCAGCAGCTGGGCTGCCTGTGGCAGAAGGACCACCTGCTCAGTGTCTCCCTGTCCGGGTACATCAACTATCTGGACAGAAACAACCCCAGCAAGCCCCTGCGCGTCATCAAGGTAAGTCCTGCCCTGGGGAAGCCGCTGACCCAAGGGTGGGCAGGGGAGAGGACACTGTGGCCAGTAAGGAAGGAGAGCTGAGGAGAGGCCAGGTAGAAGCTAGAGAGGTGTCCTCAGGCCTCCTCGGCCCTTGGGGTTTTGGTGGAAGGGAGGGATGCTGATTGGTTTTTTGGGACATGAGTTTAGCCACAGTGGGAGGCCAGGTGCCAAGTTCCCCTTGAGCTACTGTGAGAGTCGGAGAGTCGGGGGCAGTGGTCATCACCCCAGCTGTTGAGAGCTGTTACTTCCTGCAGGGCTCAGCCTCCCTGAATTGGGAGTGCACAGCCTGTGCCCCACTTGACTGCAGGCAAGAACAAGAGCTCACTGAGCACCAGGGCAGGTGAGGGGGCATCACCGAGGTCCAGGGGCTGTCACGTGCAGGGACACCAGTAGAGAGCCTCGAGGAGGAGGAAGAGCAGGTAGCCTTGGGCCTGGGCGTCGGCTGGGGTTTGACTGGGCAGGGCTGTGAGGGAGATGCTGTGGAGGTTCATGAGGGAGCGATGGGATCAGGAGGTAACAGAGTTTGAATCGTCCATGGGCCCAGGTGTGAAGGCCCTGAATGCCAGCCTGGGGAGGGGCATGGCGCCTGCTTCCGAACCCTTCCCCAGTGGGTCCTGCCTTCTCCCGCTATCCACACCAGCTCAGTTGACACTGCAGTTTCAGAGGAAGTAGACAACACACTTCATCCCCACAGCCAAGCCTTCTTGGTCTCCTTCTTTAAGCCACTCGGGGAGACAGACGCCAGCACTTCCCTGACCCACTGCAGCTTGCTGCTGTGGAGCTCTGGGGACCAGCTTCTCAGAGGCTCTGAACTCCGCAGGGCTAGCGTAGGCCAGCCTGGGGCAGCCCCCGGGCTTGTGCACCCGGCAGTGTGCTGTGCAGTCGGTGGCTCCTTCACGCTATGGCTTCTAGGAGGGGCTGCTAGAATCACCATTCCCTTTTACAGGGGCATTTGCCCATGAGGAAGGGACCTCCTTAACCTTGTATGTGACTTCTAAGGACCAGGTCACCTTGGCGCTCATTATGCATAGAGTCACTGTTCCTCTGTGCCGGGGCAGCGGGGGCAGCAGCATTGCTGAGTGGGGAAAGGCTGAACTGTAAAGGTTTCCTTGATGAGGGCCTGAGAACAGAGGGGAATCGGGAGCGCCTCCTCGCTGGGGAGCGCCCCTCACAGCCCAGGGTGTTGAGTATAAAGGGAAGGTGTGCCAGCATGGGGCCGAGGAGATGGCTGCCTGGGGAAGCTGAGGGCTCTTGTCAAGACCGTGTTCCAGTAGGCCTCCAAGTGGGCTGGTGAGAAAGGGTACACGGGTGAGTCGGGCTTCGCCACCAGCCAACTTCTCTGCCCAGGAAAGCAATTTCCCATGGGCCATCCCCAACACTGGGCTCCAGGTATCAGCCCCCAGGTGTGCTGGTGGGGCTGCCTCAAGAGCACTCTTGCTCATACCACTACTGCCAGCTGTCTGGGGCTGCCGCCACAGGAAATCTTGTGGGCTTTTACAGTTGTCAAAATCCCCACATCCCCACTCTCACGCCACACCTGTGTGAGTCACACTGGTACTGCCAGTGTTCGCAGTGCTGATCTGGACTGCAGTGGGGCTGAGGAGCAGGTCAGCCCAGGCTGCATGTTACTCACCCGGGAACTAAAAAGCGCTAGTGGCTGGCAGCCCCAGAGGCACTCAGAGTCTCCAGGGAGGTCTCAGGGTAGCAGGAGCTTGCAGGCCTCCAGAAGGAACACCTGTGGGCATCTGGGGGGAGCTGGGAGTGTTTCTGGTGAATTCCGGGCAGTGAGCGTACACACAAGTCTCCTGGCTTCTTGCAGAGCGCAGGATTGATTCAGCAGGAAGGTGGGCCTGAGCCCCACTAGTGAGGGCAGTGTTGGTCTGAGGTCCTCACTGTAAGGAGCAGAACTGCCATGTTGGAAGATGGCAGCCTAGCTCAGCGCCCCTTACTGGAGCATGTGATAATTTTTTCCTGTTTCTGTGGAAAAGATGGAAGTAGCTGCATCCGTTGCCCATTCTTCAGTCACACTGGTAACTGTGTACCTGTCTCCAAAGATCCATGCCATATTGTGGCAACATGTGGCATGCCACAGAGTTAAAGAATTCCTGCGGAAGAGCCCTTAACTCAGGGAAGAGGAGAGGGGCCCACCGGGAGCTTGCATCCCGCTGCAGGGGAGAGGTGTGAGGAGATTCTAACAGCCCCAGCCATTGTTTCCATCCCAGGATCAGATACGGAGGGGGCTAAATGCCTCCCTCTGGAAGCAGCTGTCTGGTTGTAGACCAGCCTTTTGGGCCCGCTTGCAGACAGCCTTGGGCTTTTACAGTGGTCAGAGAGAACCCTGCCCTCAGCAGGGCCAGTGTTCCTGGGGAGGGAGAGAGAGGCAGCCTCAGAAACCAGGGCCTGAAGCCAAGGCCTCCTGGATCGACGCCCTTGTGGCCTCCACCCTGATAGGTGCTGGTCAGCTGGGTGCCGGCCACGTGTCTGCCATGTGAGATGCTCAGGTACTGGGCTTTGGTCAGACCACGTCCGGGCCCAGGTCTGGGTTCGTTACCTTGGAGGGAGGGGAATGAAGGGCAGAGTCTGTAGGTGACTGGGTAGCTCCGGAAAGGTTACTTAGGGCTCGTGGGCCATGCATTCAGACAGCTGGGGCTCTGGGGCCTCAGCACACCTGCACTGCCATGGGTGGAGGGGCGTCCACCCCCTTTGTTATACCCAGAGGCTTAGTTGGTGGAAAGCGGGTGGCAGAGGGCAGGTCGGCATGGCCTCAGCTTACCTGACCAGCGCGTCTGCTCCACAGGGTCACAGTAAATCGATCCAGTGTCTGACGGTGCATAAAAACGGCGGCAAGTCCTACATCTACTCCGGGAGCCACGATGGACACATTAATATCCTTTGACCCACAGAGCTGGCTCTGGAGTCGCTGGCTGTGGAGGGGAATTTCCTGTTCCCACGGTGCCAGAGGCCAGGCCAGCCAGGTGGCTCCAGCTACAGCCCAGCCACACGCTCTTCTGACCAGTGTGGCCCCCAGGGGTGGCATGTCTGCACATGGGGCCCTGGCAGCTCCAGGGCTCACGCTGAGGAAAGCCACGGGCAGCTCTGACCTGGTCAGTCCCTTCTTGCTGTGCAGCCCTGAGTGTGTGGCTTGACGTCTCTGAACTTGGGCTGCTACTCTCCCTGTAGATGCCAGCTGGCACCAGCCTTGTGCCTACTCCACACGGTGGGATTCTTGATTCTTAAAATTCACAAGCACCTGGACACCCTTAAGTTGGGTCCCCTTTTTTTTAAAACGAGAAAACTGGAGCTCAGCGAGCTGAAGTGCCCTCCCCAGAGTCACACAGCCTGTGGTCTGCAGAGCCAGTGCTAGTGCTCCTGTGAGGTGCTTTGTGGCCCTTCTGTCATATTCCCTGGAGGTGTTTGTGTCCCCCTTATAAGTTCTTATCTAGGTTTCTGTAAATGAGTCCTGATTTCTCTCTGGTGATGGGGGCTTCTGTTGAACTTTTCCTGCATGGCCTGGGGCTGGTGACACACTGCTCTTGGGGCTGTCTTGAACCTTGGAGCTGCCATCTGCAGAGTGCCTGGGCAGGGCCCTGACACGTTGCTGGTGAAGGCATGCGCTGCGCGTTGCTCTGCTGCCCTCCCTGACCACCATGCTGTGTTGGAAACTGCCATTTGTGTGGACAGCTCTGGTCTGCATGTGCTGTACCTCCCAGAGGGACTGTCCAGGACCCAGGGAGGTCCCCACAGTGCTGGGAGAGGAGGGCAGGCATGCCACCCTCCGCCCCCCAAATGTAAGGAAATGTAGGGGTAGAGGGGTGCGCCTGCCCAAGGCCCTGTCACAGCTAGTGGCAGAGCAGGCCCTGGAACGTCCCCAGCTTGCTGGTCCCCCGCAGGTCTACAGCATGGCTCCCCTTCTGCTTCATCCAGTCTCTGGGTGGTGCGCCCATACCTCAGATACCGCTTCACAGGAACGGGTCAGCTGTGGACACTGCCAGCTTCCCAGGGGAAATGGTTTTCTCCATATGCGATGAGATTCCCATTTGTTGATGTAAATGTAGAATCTTATTACTGAAGCCACACCTGAGAACACCCAACAGTCCTGGAAGCCGGGCTTTTCCTTAACCGCCGCCCTACATTACTGGGATTCAGAGACAGGGGAGAACGACTCCTTCGCTGGGAAGGGCCACACGAACCAGGTGTCCAGGATGACCGTGGACGAGTCGGGGCAGCTCATCAGCTGTAGCATGGACGACACCGTGCGGTACACCAACCTCACGCTGCGGGACTACAGGTGAGAGCGCTCAGCTCTGCAGGACTCCCGGATGAGCCTCAGCTCCCACGGAGGGCTTTTGCCACCAGCAGTTCCTGTTCTTGAGGGCGCCTCACCTGCTCCTGTCATCTCTCCCACCCTGTCCCAGCATTGTTCTCCAGTTGTTGGGCCCTGAGCCCAGCACTGTGTTATAGAACCAGGTGGTCTGGGTAATGTTCTTGCCCACAGATGATGACCAGGTGTGGACCCTGCCCTGGAAGCAGGGGCAGCAGATCACAGCCCTGTTCTTCAGGAACCTGCTGCGGTCTCTTTCTGTCTCCCCTTCCTCATTAGTAAAGGCGGGTACAGTGGAGGCTGCCTCCGACCGTTGTGGGTTAGGTGAGCCTAGCACCGGGCGTGTGCTGAGTACAAGACAGCATCCCCCTTCCGCTCAAGGGTGAGACAGGCACACGGTGATCTGGTCAAAAGAACGTCATATCTGTTTTTGCTCTTGTGCCTTTGATTGGTGGTCAGTAGAACTAGGAGAGTAGCTGTTTGCAAGTGATCTGAAGTCCTAAGTGCAGTTGGAAAGGCTTGAAAGGGAAGTGTTTCAGGCCCTGACAAGCTCTCTGCATGTCCAGTGTCCCCATGCCCAGGACTGACCCCTCCTCTGCCCCTACATTTCTTGTGTAGACCCCTTTGTTACCTGGTAATCCTGCCTAGGTGGTGTTGCCTGAGAGGCAGGGACTCCTGGGGCCTGTTGATGGATGGCTGGCGCCAGGTCCAGCACACAGCCCTGTGCAGGTGTGCCCTCCTTGACGCAGCTCCGAGCAGGTGTGCCCTCCTTGATGCAGCTCCAAGGAGGTATGCCCTCGACGCAGCTCCTAGCAGGTGTGCCCTCCTTGACGCACAGGCCCTGCCTGCCTGGGCATCTGTAGGTAAATTGGGACTCCCGATAAGTGGCAGAAGCGGCCCTAGAGCCCAGGCATCTGGGCCCTGGTCCTCTTTCTGCTGCCCTGTGGTAACCTAGAGGTCTTCCTGGGCCAGATAACCCAAGGCAAGGCCTTTACAGAGCCAGCCTTGGCCTGAGGACTTCGCTGCAGAGCCTTTGGAGACGCCACACTTGGCCCAGGGATGCAGAAGTTTCCTTGATGATCTCAGTTTTCAAGAAATTTGTGTGTGTGAGTCTTTCCAGGACAAGTTTTGATAGCATTGGCTAAGGCTAAAGATAATGTGATTTTCACCCATTAACCGTAATGGATTCTTAAAAGTTACCCATCCATTTTGGGGAGCAGAACTCAATTCTGTCTGTGCCCAGTGAACTCCAGAGTCCTTAGTCGGCAGACATGGTGACAAAAGCCAAACTGGGCGGAGTGAGTGCTGACCACAGATAAACATGAGCATAAACAATGCCCTGAGCTGGCTCCTCCACTCCTTCCCCACTCCCAGGCGCCCATCATGATTTATCATCTCTTTGCACCAGTCATGGGTCTTTTTTTTGCCCCCATCCCATATTTTAGCAAGTCTTTCCCTCAGTATAGATGGTAGTAGAATTGTCTTCTCCTAAGTAGCAGCATTGCTGTGGTTTAACAGTGAATGTATGTGAATACCTCCACTGAGCTGCTGCATCATCGAAGTAACGTGCGTCCTTTCTCTCGAACAGTGGACAAGGAGTCGTGAAACTGGACGTTCAGCCAAAGTGCGTCGCTGTGGGCCCCGGCGGATACGCTGTGGTCGTGTGCATCGGGCAGGTAGGGACCTGCCTCTGTTCGGGTCGGAGCTTGGGGCGCTGTGTGGTACCTGCTTGCTGAATTCCACTCACGTCCCGTTTGACAGTTGCTCTAGCCAGTGTTTTTCTTGAGCGCTCATTTGCACTGCAATAAGGGAGTTCACATATTTAATCCTCACCACCATCCTGCCTCTTGTACAGATGAAGAAATGGAGGCACAGAAAGGGTACGTTGGTTGCCCAAAGTCACAGCTCATCAGATGGCAGAGCTGGGGTTTGTCTAAGCCTCAGAACACACTGCGTGCCTTTCGGCCTGTGAGGCCTGTGAGAGACTCTGTGGGGTGGGCCTGCCTTTGCTCCTGTTCAGATCCCAGCCCTGCTGCGTTGGAGCTGTGTGACTTCTTGCATTTACCTCACCCTCTCAGAGCCTTAGTTTTCCATCGCCAGTACTCAAAGATCCAGGTGATTATGAGGAAGTACATGTAAGGCTCCTCACACCATCTTGGTTCCTCTTACAGATGAGGAGGGTGAGGCCCAGAGCAGCCTGGGGCTTTCCCGCATGCAGAAGGTGGCACCTGACTCCCCAGCCTGGCTTCTCACTCCAGACAGTGGGTCACCTGCACACCTTTGCCTTCGGAGTTTCGGGAGCAAAGCACCCTTTACTGAGATGCCTAACCCACTTTATACAGAATTCTGCTCTGCACAAGATACTCTCTGTTGGCGGGCCTAGGCTTGCTGGCATGTAGACTGGGGAAGGCAAGGGGCAACCTTTGGCACAAGTGGCAAACCCTGCTAAAGAAAGCTGCATTCAGGACCCTCCGCCCCTCCTTTGCCCTGTGAACTTAATTGCTTTAGGGAGAATGGATTTCTCTGTGTCCTAGATAACACAAACTCCCTGCCAAGTAATTATTGCAGACACCCTGGACAGCCAGTGGGGGTGGGGGAGAATCCGCACACGGAGCACCTCAGGGCCTGGGGGAAATGCTACAAAGCAGCTTCTGTCTACAGCAGGGCTCTTGCCAGCCAAGGGGTCTGCACATGGGGCTTTTGTGGGTGAGCAGGTAAGGCCTAGGGCAGAGCGCCCTGTGTCTCAAGGCCCAGGTTTCCTCATCTGTAAAGCTGTGGTCATGATAGGCCACCCCTTCCCCTGAGGCTGAGAGTAAAGATCTCACGAGGATGTTCAGACAGGGGCCCAGTGGGCGCCTGCCCCCCAGGGGGTTAGAAAGTACCCTGGTAGGGTTGTAGCATGCGGGGGGGCGGGGGGGACAGGTGGTTTTCTCTGTGATCTGTTACTCATCCTTTTCTCCCAGGGCATCTAGAACCCCCACTCCGGGTCAGAATCTTCTGCAGAGCTCCCTATCATCAGTCAAAGGGTCAGGAGGGTGCTGGGAGGGGCCTGGGGTTTTAGATCAGGAAACAACCAGGTTCAAGCCTCATGTCAGACGAAGCTTCGGGCCAATGCTTAGGCCTTCATTCTTCACCTGTGGGTAGGTAAGGCCACCCCAGAGCCAAGCAGATGACACAGGTGCGCCTTCAGTAGCAGTAGTAGCATGAATGGGCGCTGCTACCATTCATCCTCATACACCCCACAGTCCACGCAGAAACAAGCCCATAGGGTAGGGGCGGGGGCTGCCTGTCTTCATGACAGCTGATGGCTTGGGTAGGGGCTTATTGGGATAAAGTCGAAACTCACAGATGACGGCCACTCTGTCTGGTAACAGACAAGTAAGTTAGAATCGGAAGAATAGACAAGGCGGGGAAACAGAAAAAGGAAGGCCCCCGCTGCAGAGCCTCTGCTGCACGTACCAGAGGCCAAGGTCCAGTGTGGGGGCCGAGGCTTGGAATCTCAGCAAGTCCCAGCTCAGCCTGTGGGAATTGGTGCCTTGAGTACACGACATCAACTGTGTACCCCATTTTCTCATCCATGAAATGTAGAACCTGATCCCTGCCTTCTGGGGCTGGAACACTCACAGCAGAGTGCTGGCACATGCCCAGGGGCTGTCGCTGCTGTTTTTGTTTCTGTCCTGACCCTGAACATTGACTCATCTTCACGATAGCCAGGCACCACTGGTTAATGAGGCCCAGGACGATTCTGGGCCGTCCCCTCATCCAGCAAGCAGCTGTGCTGGGCTCAAGCCTCGGTCTCTCCATCTTCGGAGCCCTGCTCGGTCAGCAGTGTGCCATGGGGGCGTCCCCACTGCAGCCAGACACCCAAGTACTTGGCACCCTGGCATTTCTGAGGGCCAAGCAGCGTGGCTCAGCCCCTGCTGAGGATGGTCTCCTGCCCTCTCACCAAGCAGGTCAGGAGTAAACGCAGAACGGGACTGGTGTGGTGGCCACCACGAGGGCTGCACACTTCCCAGTGGGCTTGGGGCATCAGGAGCAGCGACCCCGGCAGTAGGAGGGGTGTAGGCCCCAGGAAGTAGGCACCGGCTTCCCAGCCACTGTTCTGCCCTGCCATCCATCCTCCGGGGCATCATCCTTGTGTAGGGGGCAGAGTGCCTCTGTGGACTTGAGTGTCCCAGCTCCACTTCCAGTCGCTGGAGTTAGGCGGACGCTCCACAGCTGGGTGCCACGAGGTTCTCCTACTGTTCCTAGGCTGTAGGAGAACCGCTAGCTGTGGAACTCTGGCTCTTTCTTTTGTCTTGAGAAGCCAGAACCTAGAATCCCAAGTGCCATACTCTTTTGCATTGTTGCTTTGAGGCCTTATCGCGCCCCCGCCCCACCGTGCTCCTATCTTCCTGACGCCTAGGCGTGCTGTTCAGCAGAGTGCATTTATTTCCCTCACTGACTGGAGGGACTAAAGTTCAGAGGCCAAGTGACTTTTCAAGAGGCAGTGCTGTGGTGACAGCCATGATAGTAATGTAGTGATGATGGCAATGGTCACAGTTCATAGTGTTTCCTGCCCCACTTGACTGAGAGTCACAAGGCTGGGACTGAGCCCAGGTGGTGTGGCTCAGAGCCCCGGATGGCCCTGCAAAGAGGTTGGGGACAGAGCCAAACCCAGCTCCACTGAGCCCCGACAGGGGCACACCCCTCCTACTGCTGAGGGCTTTGTCCCGAAGGGCTGGACTGCCCTGACCCGCTGCTCATGTGTGCCGCAGATCGTCCTACTGAAGGATCAGAGGAAGTGCTTCAGCATCGACAGCCCCGGCTACGAGCCTGAAGTTGTGGCAGTGCACCCAGGCGGGGACACGGTGGCGGTTGGGGGTGCGGTAAGGCACTTTCCTCTCCCCTGTGCTCTCTGTCCTTGGTGTCTGGGTGATCTGGGGACAGCATGCGCTGTGTGAGTACCGGGGCTGTCTCAGGGAAGGTGAGGGGTCAGGCAGGGGAAGGGTCAGGCAGGGGGTGAGGGACCTGCTCTGGGACCCAGCCACCTCCTGCCACCCAGAGCTGGAGCCTTCCCCTGCCCTCCTCAGCACTCTCCCCGCTTCACTGCCCAGGTACTCACAAGACTGGACAGTGAGGTGGGGAGAGTTCTGAGGAGGGGACAGCTGGGCCTGAGAGCCAGCCCCGTGACTGGCAGGGGGAGCAAGAGGGTAGCAGGTCAGGGAATGAAGGAACAGGAATGGTGTCCCCTGGGGCTGGGCTCGGCTCGTAGATTGAATGAAGAGTGACAAGAATTTCCTGACATCATCAGGGTGCAGTACTAACGAAGAATTTTACAGTTTCCCCTGAGTTCTGCTTCGTTGTAATTCTCATGCCCTTGAACTTGTGTTTGTGGCACGGTCACAGTCTGCCTGGCCAAGTTCTCAGTGCTTTAGAGAAGAGCTCGTTTCCCCTACCCAGCCTAGGAGGGCAGCCCTCTGATCACCCAGGACTGCAGCGGGTGTGGTAGTGCCCTCTTTGCCAGGGGCCGGGCGGCTCTACGTGCTGCTGGGTCCTTCAGATCAGGTGCTAGATGTGACCTGTGCATGGAGTAGCTTCCTCTACCAGCCAGCTTGAGGGCCTCAGGAGACCAGCGGTGCCCTGAAGTACCAACAGCCGTTTTCATAGAGCTCCGTTGGTTTCAGGCCTATCCATGGGAAGAGCCATGCCCAGCACCTGACATGCACCCACCAGAGTAGAAGTCAGAAAGGCACATTTTCTTAAGGCTTCAACCCCTCCCTTCACAAAGGGTGGGTGTGGTGCGTGTGTGTTTGGTGGTGTCTCACTTCCTCTCTGTCCCTGCCGTAGGATGGCAATGTCCGCCTGTACTCCATCCTGGGTACCACGCTGAAGGATGAGGGCAAGCTCCTAGAGGCCAAGGGCCCCGTGACCGACATGGCCTACTCCCACGATGGCGCCTTCCTTGCCGTGTGCGACGCCAGCAAGGTGGTCACAGTGTTCAGCGTTGCTGACGGCTACTCGGTGAGTGGGCAGCGGGCTCCTCTGTCCCCGTGCTGGGCGGTGCAGGTGGCAGTGGAAGGCGATCGTGACTTGGTGACTTTGAGCTGACCTTGTCTGAGCTGTAGCTTTCTTGCTTCTACAAGTAGCAGTTGCCTCGTGCCGTGCTTCTGGGAGTTAGTGGGTTTGTAGGGGTCGCTAGCATAGAGTTAGTACCTGAGAAACCTGGGTCCTCATTGTCAACATGAGGAGTAAGCGAGGTGATGTGGACAACCCTGGCCTGAACCTGACCTGCCACCTCTCTTGTTTTCAACCTGCAATTAGGAGAACAATGTTTTTTATGGACACCATGCAAAAATCGTCTGCCTGGCCTGGTCCCCAGACAATGAACACTTTGCCTCCGGTGGCATGGACATGATGGTGTACGTCTGGACCCTGAGTGACCCGGAAACCAGAGTCAAGATCCAAGGTGACTTCCTCCCCCAGGCTGTGGCCAGGGCTCTGTGGGCCACTTCACAGGCTGTCTCCCTGGCTGCTATTCCCAAGGCTAAGGAGCCTCTGTGCTTCTAGGCAGGTGGCCTAGAAGAGGTGTGGGTCTGCTTCCCTCCAGCAAACACCAGCTGTGTTACTGGCCGTACTGAGGGACCACAGGCTGCGTCATGTTCCCATTGGGAGCACGACGGGGGTCTCATGCACAGGACACGTACTCAGCTGAGTGAAGGCCTCACCCATGACATCTTCCCTTCCCCCTCCCAGCCCTTAAATCCCAGTTGGGACACCAGGGTCTCCCCCTCCCTAAGATAGCCACATCCAGTGTCTAATGTGAGCCTCATGTAGACGCTGAAATTTTCTAGTAGCCACATTTCAAAAGGAAACAGGTGAAATTATTTGTAACGGTAGATTTTATTTAGCCCCGAATGTCATCATTTCTCCCTGTGGGGGTTGTGATGTCCTCAAGTGGCCGCATCTGGGGAGGTAGCTCTGTGCTGTCCAAACCCTCCCCTCCCCAGTTCCTCCCTACTGTCCTCCTGGTGCATCAGGTTCCCTCATCCATTTTCCTTGAAGACATCCTTTTGTGTTAAACACTAACGGGCCCTTTTCCTATTTAAAAATGTGTGAACCCACCCACAGAGCTCCTTCCCCAGCTGTAGGCTGCAGGTAGGGGGAAGGCAGCCCAGTCCATCAGAGACGCAAAGCAGATTTCACTGTCCGTCCTGGTTTATAAAGCAGTCGACATTGAGAGTCAAACAAGTAGTGAAAATCAGACAAGTTCATGAATGAAATGGATCCAGAAAAAATACATAGTAAGAGCTAGTCCGGTAGAGAGTAGGTCAGGGTCTTCACTGTGTGGTCACAGGGCACCAAACATGAAGTGATCTCGGCGTCAGGCTCTCATGCACATAGTTGAGTTCTGCACCTGGAAAAGAGCCAGCCTGGTGATGTGAACAGAGACCTAAAGCCTGGCCTCACTGTCAAGTCATGCTTGGTGGTTGCAGGAGATCCCAGGCACCTGTGCCACGCGCCGCCACCCGCAGGCTAAGGCTTCCTGCATCAGGGCACATGCTGTGCCAGATGGGGTGTGCTGAATCTGATCCTGTCTAGGCGGGGCTGCAGACCTAGAGGCTGGGGACCACCTGGACCAGGGGAGCAGAAAGCTGGTGGGAACCCCCTTGCCTGCAACTGGGAGCCTCCTTGGGCTTTGTGGGCAAAGCCAGCCACAGAGGAGCCCTAAGTGCACAGGCACCGTCTCACTGTTGGCACCTCGGGTGGGAAGAGGCAAGATGATGGGGGAATCAGGAATCTGGTCGTCCACGTGTGACTCACAGAGGGGAAAGTCAGTGGCCCCCAGTTCTGTGTTTTCCAGCCTTTCTTTGGTTGTCATGCCCGGCCCATTTTAATACCGTATGGATACAGCCTAGCGCTTTGTGTGTTGTCTTTATGTCATCGCTTTTATACATAAGAAGAAATTGTTATTTCACTCTTTTGGAACTTGGTTCTCAAGACTTGGAGAGGCGTAGCCACTGGCATCTGTAGGTGGAGCCAGGGATGCTGCTAATTACCCTGCAGCACAAAAAGAGGCACCCGGCCCTGGGGATCAGGAGTGCCAGGCAGAGAATTCAGCGTCACTGCCACCCTGCCAGACTCCTGAGTTATAACGATTCAGGGCCATTTTCTTGGAGGCCCTGTGATGATTTACGCACAGGTCATTCCATCTTCCTAGTCCAAGATGTACATAGATGTGGAGAAGTTTGGCTTTTTGTTAAATTGCACCCTTTCTTCTCAGATGCACACCGGCTGCACCATGTCAGCAGCCTGGCCTGGCTGGATGAGCACACACTGGTCACCACCTCCCACGATGCCTCTGTCAAGGAGTGGACAATCACCTACTGAGGAGCCCCACCCCCGCCTCTGGACGGACCTAATCAGGGACTAGAGTTTAACTGCAGTGGAACATGTCATTTCTCTATTTCTGTGACGCGCCCCCTTGCCCCTGCCCCACCGCAAGAGGCAGTAGGGCCCCGTCATGACCCTCGTCTCTGCAGGGTGTCTGTACACGTTCTTCTGAAAGCTTTAGACAGGAACAGTTTGCACATGAAAAATAAAGTGAGCACTTAAACAATGTGTGGAGCGTAACTAAAACCCACAGCCCAACCAAACCTTGAGAATGCAGAACATTCCAGAGGCAGTGGCCTCCAAAGCACACAGAGCCCCCGGCCCCGGCGTGGCTCTCTCTCACTGTTGGTCAGGGGAGATCGTACAGGTGAATGAGCTGGGGCTCACCTTCCTACCTACAGAACATTTCTGTACTAGTGAGAAGAGGGAATATGCGTTGCAGTTCAGCAAAGCCAGAATTCTGTGTTGAGCAGATGTCTGTCTCTTCCTAGCGTGTGACTCACACCGTGTGGCTGCCTTCAGAGAGCCACCCCCAGATCAGATGGGGACATACAACCCCTGGATATGTTTCATTGTCAGACTTTGTGCTTGATTTTAAGAATGGAATTGTGGGGGTTTTTTGTTTTTTTGGGTTTTTTTTTTATTAATATATTTTAACTGTTGCCTGTCAGTGTTTACAAACTAGTGCGTTGACGGCACCGTGTTCAGGTTTTTAGAACCCTTGTTAGCCAGACCGAGGTGTCCTGGTCACTGTTTTACCATCATGGTTTGATGTTCTCCTGTCTTTCTCTCCGTCTTCTGCTCCCAGGAGCAAAGGTTAATTTAAGGGCAAAGATGAAGTCACTGTAAACTAATCTGTCACCGTTTTTATCTTTTCTTTTTCAGTGCAGAAATTAAAAGTAAGTATAAAGCACCGTGATTGGGAGTGTTTTTGCGTGTGTCGGAATCACTGGTAAATATTGGCTAAGAACAATCCCTCCCTTGCACTTGTGAAAACACTGAGCGCTTTAAGAGATTAGCCTGAGAAATAATTAAATATCTTTTCTCTTCATTGCGGATCACTGACTTTGTGTGATGGGGGTACAGGGGTGGGGCGGCTGGGTGGGGAGGAACCTCTGTGGGATTCTCATAGCTTTAGGGGTCTCACCAGCCCACAGCCTCAGGCAGGAAATGTTTGGAGTCCACGATTGTCAGACCCATTGTGTGGGCGAAGGGAAGACCCGGAGAAGGGGCTAGAACCCTCAGTTCCTCTTCCCAGCAGTACCGCTGGTCACCCTGTGACCTAGGTCACATCCCTTTCCTTCTCTGGGCCTAAATTTCTTTGTCAAGTGACAACACTGGACCAGATGATGTCTACATTCCATCTGCTTCCCAAATTCTTAGCAGCCTGTATAGCTTTCACATAAGGAATAGCATGCATTTAGATGTTAAAAACAAAGCTCCCAAACATCCACGTTAATTGCAAAGTGAAAGGCACTGTTCTTTGAAAGTGCCTTTTGTACTTTTGTAACAATTGTGAAGTTGTCTAAGTTTGCAATCCCAGTTTTAAAAAACACTTTGAAGAATCTAATTATACTGCTTCTTAGAAAAGTCAGGGAATAAAATATTAGTCTATAACATCTGAAGCTGGGGCTGCCTCTTAAAAGTCTACAAATGTACTTTGTTCCTATGTGTATTTTGGGTTAGCAAGGTATCTTTTTTTTTTTTTTTTTTTTGGAGAGCTTTTTGCTCTTGTTGCCCAGGTGGGAGTGCAATGGCACGATCTCTGCTCACTGCGACCTCTACTTTTCACATCAGTGGGAGTGGTGAATCATTCAGTAAATGGTGATGATAAAACTGGGTGACAAGAGTCTTATTTACCTTATCCTTATAACAGACTAAATTTAAAAATCAAAGTTTTAGCTTTAGACAATAAAACCATAAGAATTCAAGAAAATACTGAATTTAGTCACACAAGCAGGAGTGTTTCTAAGGACAAAAATGGTAAAGAATGATTCCATTTGTGAAAAAAAAAAAGCCACAGACTCAGCAGGTACACACAAGGAAGGCCCTGAGGACCTTATAAGGTCCATTGCAGAGGGAAGAGTACCTGTTCTTTCGTGTAGTGAAATTAAAGGCTTAAAAACATCTCTACCCAGGACCTCATCAGTTTCAAGGAGGAAGATCTGTATACTCAAAAGTAAGCTTTCAAAGAGAAAACTAAAAATAAACCACTTTTTTTTATCCCTGGAGAGAAAAGAATGCAGGCATCATTTTCAAGCTAATCGTTTTTTGGCAATCTGTGATCACAAGCCTGAGCAGCAATTGGAGTTGTTTTGGGAGAGGAGAGAAGCTGGACCCCAGGCATGACTCAGATGGACCCAATCCTCCACAGCTCCATTCAAGGCAGGATGATACCTTCGTGCACACCAGCTGCATTCTGCAGACCAGCTTTGGCTACCTGGAGCACTTCAGGATACCAAGACCCTAGGGTGCACTGGAACTAGACATTGAACTGAGGTCAATTATCAATGACCGGCAGTGATCAACACTTGTGGATGGAGAGGGAAAGCAGTGTGCAGGCAAATTCCATGCTCATCGGCCAGCTTAGGGCCTTGGAGACCTGACACTCGTCCTAGAGTTAGCAGTGTAGTGAGAAGAAAGCCAGGTTAAGGGATTCTGTTTCCAGCTCTGACACACTGACCTCTTGGTAAGAAGCAGCTCGACTAGAAGACAGCTCCTAAGAGCCTCCTGGGGATATATAACAGTCTGTTTCCATTAGGGCACTGCCCCTGTGAAATGAGCTTGTAGATAACATGCATTTGAACAATTTGATCAGCTGTTGAAAAGTGGTATGTTTGTGCTGACCTGTGCAAACTGACAGGATATGGTGGAGTCGAATCCCTGCTGCAAAGGGGGATTTACGTTTACTGCTAATCACTGCATTAACAAAAATGTATTGATCACCAAACTGACAAATTGTTTAGCATAACACTTTTTCTTCTAATGATTACTATGTTGACAAAAGAATCCCTCTTGGGTTCAACCTTATGGAAAATTTGCCCAGTGTTTGACCCCGAGCCTGTGAGAACAATGCATCAAATCTGGACCTCGGAGAGCTAGAAACCCCTTTGTGCTGTAAACTATTGCAGTGTGGTACTCTTGACACAAGGAAATTATTGAATACCCAAAGAACTTTTGGTTATGTGGAGATGTACTATACCAAAAATGGAAAGTCAAGACAATTTTAAACATTTATTAATGTCTCTATGACTTATAAACCCATTACATGTTATCATAGCAAACTTTAAAGAAAAACCTTCAAAACAATAGTAGAAGAGTAGCATTGTTTTACATCTTGGAAAATCTCATGCCTGGCTTCTCCATTCAATGTGTGCACTACATTGTTTTAGTTGAAATATATGAAAAAAATATGGTTTCCCACAGATTCACAGTCGCAAAAGGGATAAGAACTTGAGTAGCATTTTCAGAGAAATGGATTTTCATCCTTGGCACTACACCAAAATCCAACAAGTGAAAAGTTCTTAAAGATTCATGCAATGTGAAATCTGAAACCCTATCAATGAATCTTTTGCCCTCTGTCAAAATCCACTTTGAACACATCTTTTATCTATGCACAATTTTGTACCATTCTTTGATTATTTGAAAAAAAGTGATTCATTGAGTTTTGCTGATCTTTCAAATGTGGACGTTTCAGAAAGTATTTTCAAAAATCATATTTCTCCAGGTTACCTCCAGTGTCGACAGAAACATTGTTTAACTCTTAGGGACCCATAGGGCTCACAGAACTTACAGTTCCAAATGAACATTCCAGGTCCTGGGTGTGTCTGTCCTCATGCTTTCCCACATCTGTCTTGTTTGCCAGGGTGAGGCTGCGTCGCATCTACATTTTGGTTTGGGAAGTGGCAGAAAGCGTGGCAGAGGCACACGTGCAGTCTTGAGGGCCGCACACTCACCACATCCACTCCCATTTTATGAGGAACTCTTAGTCATGTGAGCACACCTACCTTGGAGGGGCAGGTGGCTGGGGTAGGAGGCTAGCAGCTCCTGGTTAGGGGGCCCCAGGCCCAGCCATGTCTCCATTGCTCCAGGGGACAGAGGAGAGCCAGCCCACTGTTCATGAGCCAAATTCTAATATAATACATCCTTGGCACATTAATTTGACTTGCTAAGCTTGAGTTGCTGTGGAGCAGATCTGGGAATATAATTTTTCCTGACATCTCTACTAACAGTATCCTTGGATTGCAAGGTGAATTTTAAAAAATACTTCCATCAATTGTAAGTGCTCATCTGCCTGAACCAAGATTTTCTCAATACAGTTACTCTGCAGCGAAAACAACGTGGAGAAATGTTTGGTTACTGAGATTGATGTGAAATTGCTGAGACTGATATAAAACTGCAAGCGTCCATGATATAAACATGATATGAAGCTTAAGTCCCGATCTGTAATCTAAACTTACTTAAAAATAAGGACGTGATTATTGAATGGGTAAAAGATAAAAGGTGTTTTCAGCAACTTTGGGGGTCTACTCGGCGCCATGCCCAGTTCACCTGCCTCTTCTGGCAATTTCCTTCACTTTGTTTCCGGCACAGTTTGGAGGAAGGAACGCTGGGCTTGAATCAAGGACACTTATGTTCCACACTCTTCTTTACCATTGCCCGCTGGGCATCTTTTGCCGCAGACAAAATGCCTCTGTGGTTTTCAGTTTCTCCCTTTGTTCACTCATTTCTTTATTCATCATTTTTGCTGTCTCTTGAGCATTATGTCAGGGACTGTGCTAGGTTAGGGGCTATGGATATGGGAATTACAAATTATAATAGTAGCCGCTACTATTAACTAGATGCTACATAATATGCAGACGATGTGCTATGCATTTCACAGATATTTAGGTTCACCTGATAAAATACAGGGTAGGCTGGGTGGCACACACCTGCAATCCCCAACTATGTGGGAGGATCGCTTGAGCCTAGGAGTTTGAGGCCAGCCTGGGCAACATAGTGAGATCCTCCATCACAAAAATAAATAAATAATAAAATACAAGACATCCAGTTACATTTGAATATCAGATTTTTTTAAGTACAAATATATCCCAAATATTGCACAGACATACTAAAAACATTGTTGATCTGAAATTTAAATTTAACTGGGCATCCTGTACTTTTTTTTTTAACTAAATCTGTCAACGTCACAATTCTCACAATATATTGTTCTATGAGGAGTGGATGCTATCCACATGTAGCAGACAATGAAACGGACAATTTTCAGCTGGGTAATTTGGGGCAAATGATTGAACTCCTGCAGGAAGTTGAGACTTGAAATTAATTCTGCCTGACACTGAACGCTGATGGAAGTTCTTTGTTATCTCAGATGCACAATCAAGACCAAGGGCAAAAGATGCAGGAAGACAAGTTGCAGTTGTACGGTTGCCACCTGTGAAGCAGTGAGCCACCAGTCCCTGTTTGTGTGCCGCAAATGAATGGCAGCTCCCAGGCTTAAACTGAAGATAATTGAATGAAGGGACCCTTTGGAGAGGCGCAAGGGTTAGGGAAGGCAGGAAGAGGTGGAAGCACTCAGGAACTAGCTCAGAAGGAAGCTGTTTCCCATGCCGGGCCTGCAGACACAAGGGGAGGGAACTTTTACCCACCAAGAGTGGGAGCCCAGAGCAAGAGGCTGTGGTGTATCTTGGAGCCTCCCATTGGCCAAACCCAACGGGATCCATAAGGTGCCCTGGTTCACAGAGTCCCTCCCCAGCTCTGCGGCTGCTCCCACTTGGCAGCTGCTCTTAGGTGCACAGCAGGACAGAACAGCCAGTGTCCCTGCAGATGGGGGCAGTCCTTTGCACGGCCTCCATGGAACATCACTGTCCAGCTCCCATCCTGTGGCTGCTCCAGCTTCAGATTGCGTCTTTTGTCCTCATGCTGCTGCATCCACGTCCCATTTTGGCAGCTCGCCCTCCAGGGTAGCATCTGTATTCTGGGAAGGAAGCAAAAAGCTAAAGAAGGGAAGGTGGAGGAGGAAGGAGTTAGTGCTTATATCAGAGTAGCAAAGCT